TCTGTCGCCTAATTGAACAAAAAGAGAAGAATCTATTTCGATATCTCAAGTAAATGAAGAAATAGGGTTTTTTCCTTCGTCTTAACTAAATGAAAAAATAAGAATTTTTCCTATATCTCAACCAAACAAAAAAAACACTAGAATCTGTTTTTATAACTTCACTGAACAAAAACAGGAATAGTTTTCAATATCTCAAGCAAATGAAAAAATTGGAGTCTATTTCTATATCTGAACTAAGCGCAAAATCAATAATATTTATCTATATCTCAACTAAAAAGAAAAATAAGGATCTGTCTCGATAACTTAACTGAACAAAACAAACATGAATTTTCTCGATTAAGAAAGAATGATCTATACGCATTCATTGTAACTAATGAGGAAGGTACCTGAAGTGTCCCCTGGACTTCCAGCTCCTATCTTGCCCCGAAGTAGACCTCAATGTCAATAGCCATAACCTAAAAGGATTCGTGCCTTAGGTTATTGAAGCTGACTTATGATCATTTCAGTGAATTTTCGATTTCAGACAAGGCATTGATGGAAAAACCAAACAATGGTATTTTGACCTGAAATTTTGCCCACGGAGAGGCCTCATGATTATTAAAATTTCTAAGAATTTCAGTCAAATGGATGTTTTGTTCTTAAGATATTGGATGGTTAAAAAAGGATCATATGTCATAGAAAAGTCAGAAAATTTAACAGTTTTGAAAATTCAGTATCTCAAGGATAAAGCATCCATTTTGACTGAAATTTTTAGAACAATCTAATAATCATGAGGCTTCTCCGTGGGCAAAATTTCCGGTCTAAATACCATCATTTGGTTTTTCCATGAATGCCTTACCTGAAAGCGAAAATCCACTGAAATAATCATAAGTCGGCTTCAACAGCCCATGGGCACAAATCCTTTTAGGCTTTGACTATTGACATTGAGGTCTACTTGTGGGCAAGATATGAGCTCGAAGTCGAGGGAGTCACTTCGGGTACTTCTCTCGTAAATAGATAATAAAAAAAGAAATATATTTCCTATTAGAATTGACGAAAAATATAGAATCACTATTTCAAAGTCATATTTATGCAAACACCATTTCGTGTCATAAAATAAAGGGTGTTTCAGAAGTTCTGAAACGATTTTGAAATTTATTATTTTCGCGTTCAACACAATCAAACTTCTTGAAACTTTCGCAGATTATTAGACATCCTTAGTACTATATAACATCAAAGTTTCAGGTCTATACCTTGTACCACGGATGAGAACCAGTAACAACNTTATAACTTCACTGAACAAAAACAGGAATAATTTTCTATGCCCCAAGTAAATGAAAAAATTGGAGTCTATTTCCATATCTCAACTAAACGCAAAATCAATAGTCTTTATCTATATCTCAACTAAAAAGAAAAACAAGGATGTATCTCGAGAACTTAACTGAACAAAACAAATAAGAATTTTCTCGATTAAGAGAGAATGATCTATACGCGATCACTGTAACTAATGAGGGAAGTACCTGAAGTGTCCCTCGACTTCGAGCTCAAATCTTGCCCACAAGTAGACCTCAATGTCAATAGTCATAACCTAAAACGATTCGTGCCCATGGGTTGTTGAAGCTGACTTATGATCGTTTCAGTGGATTTTCGATTTCAGGCAAGGCATTAATGGAAAAACCAAACAATAGTATTTTGACCCGAAATTTTGCCCACGGAAAGGCCTCATGATTATTAAAATGTCCTAAGAATCTCAGTGAAATGGATGTTTTATCCTTAAGATATTGAATGGTTAAACAATGATCAAATGTCATAGAAAAGTCAGCAAATTTAACAGTTTTGAAAATTCAATATCTCAAGGATAAAGTATCCATTTTCACTGAAATTTTTAGAACAATTTAATAATCATGAGACCTCTTCATGGGCAAAAATTTAAGATCAAAATACCATCGTTTGGTTATTCCATGAATGCCTTGTCTGAAATCGAAAATCCGCTGAAACGGTCATAAGTGACTTCAACAGCCCATGGACACAAATCCTTTTAGGCTTTGACTATTGGCATTGAGGTCTACTTGTGAGCAAGAGATGACCTGGAAGTCGAGGGGACACTTCGGATACTTTCCTCGTAAGTGGATAATAAAAACAGAAATATATTTCCTATTAGAATTGACGAAAAATATAGAATCACTATTTCAAAGCCATATTTATGAAAACACTATTTCGTGTCATAAAATAAAGGGTGTTTCAGAAGTTCTGGAACGATTTTGAAATTTATTATTCTCGCGTTCAACACAATCGAACTTCTTGAAACTTTCGCAGATTATTAGACATGCTTAGTACTATATAGCACCAAAGTTTCAGGTCTATAGCTTATACTACGGATGAGAACCAGTAACAACACTAACATGTACTATTTTTTAATTTTCTTGATAATCTTAACGATGAGACATAAAGAATGGGCGTGTTTTGTATTTCAAATTTCAATCACTTAATCTGTTGTATTAAAAAACAAAATATACCACAAGATGTAACATGAAAAGCTCTACAATCTATCAAGCAAAGCTTACTTTAATTGTGTACTTTTTGTTTTCAAAAAAAGAAAAATTCTAGGTGACCAATTTTTGATGCTACGAAGAAAAGAAATTACTCAGGTACCAAAAAGTTATCTTCTCT